TTTTTTTTTTTCTCTATATTGAATGAACCGTTGGGACTGACATTTTTAGCGGTTTTTGGCAGTGTTCGAATATCTTTCTTACCAAAGATCAAGATGTTCGCCTCGGTAATTAATTTTGACCTGTATTTTAGTGTTGAATTCAGAACCGTATTACCAAGTCCAAAAGCCTATTCTAGTTCCTCGTTTTTATATTTTCCTCTTGAGCAGGTGATTTTGGACTTGCTAAAACTTTGAAGGCAGATGATTTAGCTTCTTCGGTACGTGCTTCATATGCATAAAATCTGTTTCTTTTTATCTTGTGAAGCTAATTAGATTTATCTAGTGAAAGAAGTGGAGAAAATTATACATGTGATATACATTTTTTTTTTTTTCAAAGGAGAAAAAGAGAACAGAAATTACTTGATTATCAATTGTACTCATGGGAGTATTAAATTTTCGGATTATGCAGTGTAAATTGGGTCAGCAAGCAAAACAAATCTTATTAATGAGTCCTCAATTCACTTTGATCGAGTTAAAAAAATAGTCAGAATATTTCTTTCGGCTGAAAGAACTTCGAAGCATGCGGTTAGAGCCTGAGCGAATGGTTACTTTCATTAGCTTATGTTCAAAACAATTCAGAAAGTCGATAGCTGGTGTTGCATAAGTGCTTTCATCGAGCCTAAAAATACTGGAAAACTGGATAAACTCAAAGAGAGAGTATATAATTGCAATGTAGCTAAAATTGCTTGCTTCAACCTTATTTTACCCATGGTCGCAAAAATTGATGTGATTTATTTGAAGTCTTCAAGAGAATAAATTAACAAATGAGGATGTCAGCCAAAATTACATTTATTTTTGCATTATATTGCAAGTATACAAGATCCAAAATCTTACTGGCCATCTTCTTGTTTTGTACAGGTAGTTGGAACTCCTAATTACATGTGCCCTGAACTTCTTGCTGATATTCCTTATGGATTTAAGTCTGATATATGGTCTCTAGGTATGTCCATGTCCATTTTTCCGTTCTTTGATCAGTAGAATTAGGACAATTAATTACATAATTGTTTCATTTTCAATCAGGATGTTGTATGTACGAAATGGCTGCTCACCGACCTGCATTCAAGGCTTTTGTAAGAATCCAACCCTTTTGTTTAGCTTAATTGCATCTTTCGTCTTTTTATGCTTTCCAGATTTTTTATCTGCCAAATTGTAGTAAATAGGCATGAAAAAGGAAAACGAGGATTTTATGCCCTGACATTTTCTGCTTTCAACCCTATGTCTTGTTTTTTTATAATTTTATCATTGTTTATTTAACTTTTATGCTCATTGTGATCTTAAAGAGCTTGTTACGTGTTTTAGGACATGGCTGGGTTAATAAGCAAGATTAATCGATCATCTATGGGACCTTTGCCCCCTTGTTACTCCCCATCCTTGTGAGTGAATCTTTCTTTACTTTTTTTTTTTTTAAATATTCCTCATTTGTAAATTAAAGTGAGATTTTGTGACCATGACTATATCTTCTTACCATAATTTTACAAATTCCTCTGGGCCTCTTGTTTCATGAACATGGGAAATGTTAGGGTCTACTTTCATATTTAGAATATTGATTAATTACGTTTTTCATTTAACAGGAAATCTCTAATCAAGAGCATGCTCAGGAAAAACCCCGAACACCGGCTAAGTGTGAGGAACACAAACAATCATCTTTTTTGAAAGTCTGCTATATCATTTTATTTAATTAAACAAATAATCTTCCCATCTGTAATTATCAGGCATCCGAACTTCTTAAGAACCCATATCTGCAGCCATACATTGACCAATACCGTCCAATTACCATTTCTCCTCAAAAACCTCTTTCCGGATCTCGTGAGAGCAGAAGGAGCATGGCCGAGAGCCAGAGCAGCAACAGTTCTTGCAGCGATAGAGACAGCTTGGTAACTATGCCGCATGAGACCAACAACATTTCAAACCGCAATCATCATAACAAGACCGTCGATACAGACTCGGCTTCCATTAATGGTGATGATGATGACCATGATGATGTTGGGAAACCAGCTCAAAAAGACTCGGTATGTAACGGAACAAAGCAGCATCCCAAGACGATAAAGAACATCATGATTGCTCTGAAAGAAGGGAGGAATAGAGAGAATAGTTCTCCCATGAGAACCCACCATGTAAAAACAGGCATTAACAATCAGAGAATAATTGTGGAAGCATCTCCCAGGGTCGCCAAACCGGGCCCTGTTAATTACGGTCATCATAAGGGTAGTGCTGAGGCCCCAACCTCCAAGGTGAACTCGGAATCTTCTAAGCGAATGCAGGATTCTCCTTCTCTGAAGCACCAGGTACGAATAATACCCTGGAGTTTAGCCTTTTGTTTTTCCCTTTAAGTGGCTTATTTTCAAATTACAGATGCTCCAGATGTATTTGTTTCTGTTTTCCAACTTGTACCCTTTTCCAGGGCTATTTGTATGTAAATCGAAAATTTTAGTATGTAGAGATGACAACGAGTTGGGCCGCAACAAAAATTTTTATGTTTGTTTCTTGTTTTATTGGGTTTGTTGGGCTCGAGGCGGCTTCTTGGGACTGCCCATAGTACACGGTTGGTTTTTGGTCAATATTATGTGCTGGCTGGCCTGTCTGAGCTGATTTTGCAACAAGTTCTATATACAGCTATGTCATATGACTGGACATTTTGTTTTAAATAGGCTACACGTTGAGGCGTAATTCTGACCCTTCCTCTTTTATCCTTTTCTTGGACTTAATGATGTTCACAAAGATGCCTGTTTGTGTAGTTACCCATCATGGAAACCCCACCAAGGACCAAAGCTAGATATGAAGGGATCCCCCCAACAGGCCCAATGAAGCCCTTCACTGAAGAAGGATTGCCAGTCAGGACAAAACAGAAAACGCCACCAACCCTGTCTCGGCGACCGTCTCTTCCGATCCGAACACATCAACCGGGCTGCGACTCCCCAAACGATGCCCATGACCCAAACGAGCCTACGAAATCTGAGACTCATTCATCATATGGTTCTCAGATAACAAGGGAAGTCATGCAGCATTCGAAAAGGTCAGTGGGACCCCACCGAAAGAGGATCCAAACGGACAGCAGCAATTCGGCATCTTCCTCTGTATGTGATGATGCAGCCACTCCTTTTAGGGCCTTTGCAGAACACACATTCCAAAATGATGGTCACGGGCAAGCCAAGAAAGTAGAGGCTATTGAGGTCTGCTCGTCATTTCCAGAAAGGACGGAAAATTGCCTCAAGGAGCAATGGGAAATGAAACAGCGAGAAACCGAAGTCGAAATTAACGACTCCAGGTCCGAAAGCTCCACCACTTCGTCATCTCACTCTGAAAGACCGCAAAATGAAAGGCTCGAAAAAATTTCAACGGAAGTATTTCTGGGGAACAAAAAACATCAATCCACCATGTGTTCGGCCGAGACGTTATTAATTCAACAGCACGTGGATCACAAAGATATGGACATGAATAATGTGCACAATGAGAACGTGAATACGTCCTCTATTGATAATGCGGATGACAAAGATATGGTCGTGAAGAATGTGGCTGATGAGAATGAGAATACTGGTTCTATTATTGATAGGGGCATCGGCCCGTTTTGTGATAATTTACCTACCAACCTGAGTGACAGGCCCAATAATCTCGCTAGAGATTCGAGCATTCTTTCTTTAGCATCCAGTGGTGACGATAATGATAAGTTCATTGTGAAGAACTTTTCTACAGACATATGTCCCCGGGTGCAAAATGAAAATAATGAGAAGAAAGCAATAGAGCCCACCCACCCAGTGCTTGATGAGACCGATGCAAGAAAACCTGAAAATTCCCTTCCCGAGTTGGATTTCTCCAAAAACCCCATCACAAAGGAAATAGACATGAAGACTCCAAATTCGAATCCATCTACACTTACGGTTGCAAAGTCGGATTCGTTCGAATCAGTAAAAGCGAGCCCATCATCGGCCCAGGAAGAAGGCCCGCCACCAGTGAAAGAGACTTTGGACGTGAATTCATTCAGACAGAGGGCAGATGCGCTCGAGGGGTTGCTGGAACTGTCAGCAGACTTGCTGCAGCAGAATAGGCTGGAGGAGCTGACAGTTGTCTTGAAGCCCTTCGGGAGGGAAAAGGTTTCGCCTAGGGATACCGCCATCTGGCTCGCCAAAAGTCTCAAAGGAATGATGCTTGAAGAAGGCAGCCGGAATTCATGAGGTGCCTGCTATTTTTTATTTTTTCCTTCTTTTCCTTGCTCGTTTTAGTTGAGGTTTGTGATATATATTATATAGTCGAGATGACTTCTCTTTTTGCTTCAAGCGTAAAACTCTTGCGTTTTCTTTCTTTTCCCCCTATTTTGTGTTTTCGGATATTCGTTTTTTTGTTTTCTCCAGTAATGTACTTGCGTGATGTACATAATGATACAGTTCGATATCGTGTTTCGCCTAATCTGGCTAAATTTATGAACTTGTTGGTGGTTGAATATTGAGAAAGAACTTGTGCGTCATTATGGTTTGTTGTTTCAGTTTTAAGTTTTTTTGTGGCTGTTGATATAAGAAATTTGTCAAATCTTTGGTTTTTATCAGATTTGTTTCAGTTGGTAACTGCAAACTCTGCTCAACCCTTGAGAATTGAGATGATTTGATTCTTGCTGTTTATTGAAAGATAATGGGTATTGAGTAAACTGATGGGTATTATCATTCTGCAATCTCTTTTGCATGTTTTTTTTTTTTTATTTATTTATTATTATTATTCAGAATGCAAAGCTGATATTCTCCATAAAAATGCTAATTAAGAATGTGATATCCCTAATAAAATTGATGTCATTACCTAAAGAATTGAATATACATTTTCAAAATGAAATCAATTCAAGAGCTACGGAGCTATAATCGTTTGGATTTTTATTGGGAAACTACACTTAATCCACCTAATATACGTCTTTTTTTTTTTTGTTTTACCTCTCAATTTTTTTTTCGTGACACTTTGCCTATATAACATTCTAAATAATTGCACTTAACTAATTTTCGGTCTTCGTCCGGCCATCTCTAAGGGCAAAGTGTAAATAAAAAAAAAATGAGTGGTAAAGTGCAAAGAAACATATAGATGGGTTGCTAAAGTGTAAATTTTTCAATGCAATATACTTAATGAATGACTGAAAAGTCTATTTTGCCCTTAAAAATTCCTGACGATGACCAGAAATTGGTTAAGTGTAAGTTTTTGTAAAGTTATATGGGCAATGTGTCACCAAAAAAACTTCGAGTAGGTAAAGTGCAAAAAACCCTATAACTTAGTGAGTTAAGTGTAGTTTTCCCTTTTTTATTTAACCGAAATATTTGGAAATATTTAATGTGATACTCGCGCGTGTGTGTGTGTGTATATATATATATATATATATATATATATATATTGTGTTTTTTAAAGTAGCATGTGCTCGGTGATGCATGAGAAAACAATATTACGATTGTATCATAAATTAAATATATAAATTAAATTAATTTTGATTAACTTATTGTTTTTAAAACAAGATAGGACAGTTTGGCCGGATGGACTTAGAACCAATTTAGTAATCGTCTAGTTGGCTTGAATAAAACGTTTGCTAATGAACTGATCAACACAAGTCCGTCAGATTGGTAGGGTCAGTACAATTTGTACAAATTTTTTGAATAAATTTTGTTACATTTAAAATTATTTTTAATATAAATTAAAATACATATTTGAATAAAATTTATATTTATAAATTAGTATAAACATTTGAAAATTTTAAATTTTTATATATGTATTAAAATATTAATAAATCAAATTATGATTCAACCAATAAATTATCGCATAAATAAGTTGATCGGTTTGATCATGGTCTGAGAACCTTGAATTTACCATACATTAAATGTAACACAATATCATTTTGTTCACATAAATATTAATAAATGATACATAAATATTCACAAATCATTGAACATGTTGTCATAAAAGCATTCTTAATATGATTATTTGGAGCTTGGGTAGCATTACATTTATCATAAAAAGGTTTTTTAATATGAAAATTTATATTTAGTTTCAATAGTCGATTTGGTCTGGCCAAACTGACCCAAACCTCAGTTGTGTCATTTTTTGGACTATTTTAAGTATCACCTAAAAGTAAGTCAATCAATTTAGTTGTAACCTAATTCAATCACCTGATGGTTCTAAAGAAATGTCCTTATTTTTCTTAAATAAAATGTTTAATTTTATATGATAAAAATATATATATTATGATTTTATGTAAACGGTTGATTTTGCAACGAGATTATAAAATATATAGATAATTATTATTTGGATTTAAATGAGACATAAAAGGAAATTAGAACAACGAGATAGTCAATGAAATAATTTTTGCGTTGATACACCAGCACCGAGATTTATTGCGAAATTTGGATTGCTTTATGATCACTTTTAACATTTGCCTATTGAAGGCCATTGAACTATCATATATCTTTTGAGGTATTTTTTCACTCTTTTTTCTTTCTCTTTTATTTTCGGTGTACTTTTGTGATGATCTCTTCAAGCATCGATGGTCGCTATTTATATAAGGGGAGGGGCAATAAATAATCTTATTGTTGGGACACACGTCGGAGTTTCAACAGGCCTACCACATGCTAGGCTCCACATCCTTGCAACTTACTCAAGTGGCTGATGTTTTGAGCGATGGAACCCGATTCTGGGTAACAACCCTTTTCACACAGGATCAGCTGAGATTGGCCTGAAGGAAACTTCATTCAGTTGTGGTTGATGTGAGGAGATAGTCCTTCTAAGTCAAGAGTGAGATCGGCACGAAGGTCGGTGTCCATGTTCTTCGGACGTTGTGAGCCGATGTGTTTAGGTTATCATAGCATATTATGATTTCGGGGTATCACCAATGTAAATTTGTTGTCCATGCCATTCATGCTTTATGGGCTAATTCACATTGGCGCATTTTGGAATAAATGAAGGCCCCTAGGTTATTGGGACTAGGCGACATACTTCAGTTGGTCGTAGAAAGCTATTTGAGTTCATGATTTCGATTTGGAGATAAGATTTGACCGAAAAGTCGTTTCCGATGCTAGACGCCAAAACATAGTGGAGATGGACATTTAGATGGTCAACCCATAATTGGCAGGGTAAAAGCTCTTTGTTAAGGGAATAACGGTTACGTCCTCTCTAGCCATTAAATGTGGGTGTGACGTTTCTCATAATGAATGAAGCCATACGGAAAAGGTGTGTCCCTCCATTGTCTGCTTGTAACGTGTATGAATCTGGAATGTTGACGTGTGAAGAGTCGCCCCCTTTTTCGAAACATCTTTTCAATGCATTGATAGAGGCGCGGGTACCTACCATGATATGATCATAAAGAGGTTTATACAAGGAAAGAGACTCTTCCTATTAGTGAAAGAAAAAAAACCACTTTTTTTGTTTTATTCTTTTTTTCTGGGGCATATAATTTTGTTTTTCCGGAGAGAATTGTTCGAGTTGTTTCGTCGAAATTGTTTCCCGTGAGGCGTTAAGTAATGTGGCGATTGAAAATATTTGTTAGTCTAAAGAGAACGACCACCGAGAGCAGTAATTGAGCGTCGCGACACGGGAGACGACGGTGCCAGAGGTGAGTTCCCTTGTTTTCGTTTCAGAGAGGCATTTAGAAACACAAGGAGAGACTCTTCATGTCCAACAATTAATACTTCAGGAGATTTCGTCTGGTGGCACTCCCAAGAAGAGGGCTAGGGAGAGTGGTCAACCCATGGAGTCACCCATTGAGACGACTTTGGGAGGAAAAATATATGTCGAAATCGTGGCAGATCACGCTAATAATCTCCGATCTACATCAGGTTCGCTTGGTCAAACTAGGACAAAAGTCACAAATTATTGCAATTATTCAAAAGTTCAAAAGTTTAAATTGTCAAAACCGGAAAGAT